TGGTGCTGTTTTGAGCAGAGTGTTGGTTTCTACTTCACGACCCAGGGTTCTAATCCATTCAGTCTCACCTTGAGGCTTTCTCACTCACTTCTGCCTTTTTAGATTTATCACCCCCTCTGTGTTCCGGCAGTTTCTCGTCACACTGCTTGCCATCCACTTGACACTTGGTTGCTCATTTTGTCTACAGGTGTGTCTCTGCTACAAAGCTGTGACTCCTAGGAAGGGCTGGAACTGACCCATCTCTGTACCCTCAGAGTAGTGCGGGAGAGGCTGATCCGCCTTTCTTATTGTCAATTGTAGGCAGCACAGATGGAGGACACGTGGCCAATGGAAGCCTACTGAGGGTGTCATGGGATCTAGAGACCGTCTTATACGAAAACAAGAGTCGGGAGTGTTTTGCTTGGAGAGAACCCGTCTGAGAATCAATCCACTTGCTGACCATTTCTGGGCATCTCCTCTGCACAAGCCCTGGGCTAGGGATGGGGAAGCCACGGCTGCACAGCTCCCATGCCAGCAGCAGAGCTCACAGCCTGGATGGTGTTGGACACACAGATAAGGAACCATGACACAGTGTGGTCAGGCCCCCAGGAGGCATGTGGGTTGCTCAGGGAAGGCCTCTGAGAAGACGTTGCAGGAGGGCCCAGTTATGACAGTGTTGTTAACAGATTTCAGTTTAGGTTAAAAAATGACTTTCTTTTTTTTTAAAGATTACTTTTAAAATTTATGTGTTTGGCTGGGCATGGTGGTTCACAACTTTAATCCCAGCACTCGGGAGGCAGAGGTAGGCCAATTTTATGAGTTGGAGGCAAGCCTGGTCTACATAACAAGCCAAGACTACATAATGAGACTCTGTCTCCAAAAAAGCAATAACAACAACAGTAATAATATAAATGTATGTATATGTGTAGGAGCCTGCATGAGCACATGCGCACCACATACATGCAGGAGCCCTCAGAGCCTGAAGAGGACATCAGATCCCCTGGAACTAGAGTTACAGGTAGTCTTGAGCCATTATGTGGGTGCTGGGAACCAAACCTGGGTCTTTGGAAAGAGCAGTAATTGCTCTTAACTGTTAAGTCATCTTTCCAGCTCTGAAGACTGTCTAACAATCAGGCCATGCAATAACGAGACAGCCTGGTGGTATAAGCCCTTAATGCTAGTCACTCAGAAGACCAAAGTCAAAAAATCCAAGTTCAAAGCTAGCTTGAGCTATAAAATGAGTTGAAAGCCAGCATGAGCAACTTAGTGAGAAGCTAAATAAACAAACAAACAAATAAATAACATTTAAAAACGGGGTGTTGGGAGGGGGAGGCTAGGCATAATTGTGTTGGCCTATAATCCAGCCCCTGGGATATGAAGGCAAGAGGATCAATTCAAGGTCTGGGCCTGGGCTACATGAGACCCTGTCTCAAAAAAGAATGAGACAAAATGAGAGGTGAAAGGGGTGCTGGGACTGGGCTTTGTGGTAGAGTCATTGCTTACCACACATAAGGCCCTAGACTCCATCGGCCCTAACAGACAGGTCAAAGGGCCGGCTCAGCAGGAAGTGTTTGCATCTGGAGGTATGTGAGTACCCCCCCCCCAAGCCCATTTCACAGACTCAACCCTGATGTCTCTCAGCCAACCACAAATGTGAAGGCTCATCATGAAAGCTGTTCAACCAGCACTTCCTCCTCTGTGCTAGCAATGCGGCTATAAAACAAAACAGAAGACAGTGGTGTGGTGACACACACCTTTAACCTCAGCATTCAGGGGGCCAAGGCAGGCAGGGCGGCATCGTAAGACAGCTCAAATAAACAAGCAAGCCAGCCACCAGAATCAGTCTCTCCTACAGAGAAGTTCACAGCTCTGGGAATTTGAAATTCTAAGCACTATGGCCTTGGTCTAGTGTCTCTTTGTTGTTCTTTTGAGACGGGGTCTCATGTAGCCCAGGATGGCCTTGAACTTGCTATGTATTGGAGGGTAATATTGAACTTCTGATTTTCCTGCCTCCCCTCTTCACTGCCAGGATTAGAAGCTGGCCCCACCACACCTGGTTTCCGACTCCAGGCAAGCAATCTACCAACTGAGTGATCCCCCAGCCCCACAGCCTTGTTCTTAAAAGTAAAAGGTTAGCAATGACCTTAATGTCTCCGCTAGGAACTCGCTAAATAAACAATGGCACAGAAAAATCACTCAATGGAATACTAAATGGTCCTTCAAAAGAGCAAACTGTTCTTCATGTACTGATCTGAAGTGACAGCCAAGAGGACTAGCACATGATGTGTTTCTGGGTGAGAAAGGGTGTGCACAAACACACGAGCATTCATTTACACATACATACACACATATATACATACATTTACAGGTGCACAAATACTCTAAAACATATAAGCAAGACATACTGACCTGTAAGCTTCCAGGGAAGGGAGCTAAGGTTAGAGGGGTGAGGGACTGGAACAATACCTACATTTCAACATGCTATACTCTTAAATTTGTATTCGGTGTATGTGCATTATTTAAATTTTTATTCTGTGCACATGCATTATTAAAAAGCTGATGAAGTCCAGGCCTGGTGGTGGACTCCTATATAATCCAAGCACTTGGGAGGTAAAAGCAGGAAGGTCAGGAGTTCAAGTTCATCTGCAGCTACATAGCAAACTTGGACAAACAAAAAAACTAATAAGTTTTTAGTAAAACAAAATTAAATCATTCAAAAACATAATCATATGCAAAATGTGGTTGTACATACTTACAATCCCAATAGTTGGGGGCCTAGGGCAAGAGAATTGCACTGAGTTTAAGACCAGCCTGGGCTGTGTATTGAGATCTTCTCAAAAAAAAAAAAAAAACCCAACAAAACAAACAAACAGAAATATATGTAGTTGTAAAGACCATATAACAACATGGAAAGCTGATATTAAACTTCGTTTAAGAGAGGCTTTTTATATGGAGCACGATACACCTGGTCATGCTCCCAGAGCTGGTTCTGTCTGGTTTCCTGATCATCCTCACTGAAGGAACAAGATCCTAGACCATTAACTGCAGCCAGTCACGTCCGTACCCTCAGCACTGACCACCAGACCCTGGACAGTCTGTTTACGTGTGAGGAAAAGCTTCTGCACAAACAGGAGGGGACCTTCCCCAGGGGGAAGCCAGGGTGCTACATATCTTCTTCCTCTTGCTCAGCTTCCTTCCTGGAGGAAGGTCCCCAGTGGGAAAGCAGAGGTGAGATGTGTCCTGGCAGGAAGGAGAGTCCAGGAATCTGCCCCGGTGGCCTGGCACGATGCCACAGGGCCAACCTCAGCTAAATCCAGTGTTCTGCTCCCTATCCTCCCTGGCTCTGCCCACCCGCTGTTGGAGCTCTCTCCTTCAGGATGCTAGTCCCACATTCCCCTCAGAGACCAGCCTTCTGCCCCTGACCAACTGTATGATCTCACTCAAATCACTTAGCCTCTCTGAGGCATTTTCAGAAGAGCTACTTGTTTTATTTTATGTGTCTAAGTGTTTTGCCTGCATGTATGTGCAGGTGCCCATTCGTGTGGTGCCCAAGGAGCTCAGAAGAGGGTGTTGGATCCCCTGAACTGGAGTTACAGATGGCTGTGAACCACCTATGGGTGTTGGGAACCAAACCTAGGTTCTCGACAAGAGCAGCATGTGCTCTTAACTGCTGAGCCATCTCTCCAGCCTCATCCTACCTTTGTTTCCCACCCATAAAATAGTCCTATCTTGACAGGCTGCTGGGCAAGTGAAAGAAGCATTACCTCCTTCTACACCCTGTACCATTTCTGGGCCACCTGCTTGTCAGTCTCCCCAGCCTGTGCCTCATGTTTCTGCCTTCCTCACTCTCCTGGGGCTCACAGACCTAAACTATCACTCACCGCACCCATGAGTCAGATCCATACATCCAGCTGTCTCTGAGCTTTCTCCATGTTCATCTCTCATGACTGTCTCAAACTTGATTCATCGACAACTTACCTTGGTTAAGTTCAGGGTCCCAGTACCACTTGTGGCCGATATTCCAACTCCATTTCAGCATGTTCTCCCAAATTCTCCTAGATCCTGTCTATTTGACAATTAGCACTAACCATCATAAGTCTCCACAGATGTGATCTACTGGCTGAGTAGTTCAATTAACTCATGATTTTTCTACCAAAATATCCTAGGTTTGCATCAACTGAACTGAAAATTACAGGGTTATTGTAAGGATCAAATGAAATGTTTATAACACAGGAAAAATATTGCCATCGACCATGTTCAGTAAGTGTTTCTAATCACAAAATTAATTCTTAATTCATATAGAAAGAATGCAATCAGTCAGTCTTATTGAGAATTGATAATCATACATATATCCACTAGATAAACAGTTGAGCATCAAGCAGCATGCCTTCATCATTTTCTGCTTCCTGGTTGTGGCTGTGATGTGGATAGCTGCGTTACACTTCTGCTACCTAACTAACCCATCGCGTTGGTTTGTACCTTTGAACTGTGAGCCACAATAAACCTTTCTCCATGAAAAAAAATCAAAACAAGACAAGCACAACAACAATCTTAACTTAGCCTTTTCCTCTCCAAACTTGGTTCTCATCCGCTGCCTTCCGTCACGTCGGTATCTCTAGAACCTTGAGATCTGGCACCCACTGACCCGTCCAACACTTCACTCCAACCCGGCATTCACATAGTCCTGTGACGTGGACGGGAACGAGAGGAAGCTGGACTGAAGCTCACGGCAAAGGATTAGCAGAGAGAAGGCAGCCCGGATTCCCCCAAGGGTGTCAGTGCTCTTACCTCAAGGGGGAGAAGAGAGGGTTTATTCTGGAGCCAAATATGAGCGACCACGACCATGGAAACATAGATTTAGGTCACCTCGAATTCCACGTTCCAACATGCAAGTAGTTTCATGAAATTTTTATGGTAACAGAACAAAGAAAGCCACTAATCAAGAAAAACCAGAGAGCTAGGTCACACCATGCTGCTGTGACGCAGCTATAGGGCCCGGATGCTATCTGTGCTATTCTTACCTTCCGGTTGGTCGGTGGAGAATGGGGTTTTGTGAAGTTAAAACCTGTTTGTCAGGACGTTGTCTCTGGCTTTACCTGCAAGTCACAGGTTGTTATGTCCAACACAGAGATGGGCAAGGAATGGCTCTTTAGGGGGCTAAAGCTAACTCCAGACAAACAGTCAGCAGGTTCTGGACCTGCAACATTCCAACCCCTATATATCACTGAGATTTAATCAGTTGTTTGGCCTTTGCAGACACGGCTTCTTTCCAGGAATTCTTTTCACAAAGGCTCACATTCTGCTCTGGCACCAGTCTTGCATTTCACTGCGGCACCACTCTCAGACCGTTAAGATTCCAGAACCTTTTCCAGTAACTTCTCACTGTTTTTGTTTTTGTTTTGAGACAGGGTCTCATTACAAAGCCCTGGTTGGCCTGGAACTAGCTATGTAGACTAGGCTGGCCTCGGACTCACAGAGAGTCCTCTGCCCCTAAGTGCTGCAATTAAATGTGTAGGCCACTATGGCCAGATGTTTTGTTTTGCTTTTGCTTATGTTACAGTAGGTTCCTACACTTGCGGATACAATTGCCCCGAGTAACATAAACGTATCACGGTAGTTGGACAGATGAGTCTATGCTGTGCTAAGTGACAGCCTCCCCACTTAGGTGGGATGTCTGTGCTCAGCATCGGATGAGGTTCTGCTTGCCGCAGCCCCCCAGGAAGCAGCCATCCTCTTCAATGTCACTGGTTCCTGTTCTATACGGAAAGAACCTTGAAGTCTGGCATCAGCTACTCAGTGCTCCAGCTGAGAAGTGAGATGCCACCCCTATTCATAACTCAGTTATTAGAACAAATCACCTGGCTCTGCCCAACTTGAGGGTGTCAGGAAGTACATTCTTATCCTGCGTCCAGAGGGCAGGGAGCCAAAACTACGGGTGAGTATTAATAGCTAGCATATGCTTCCTGCAATCTATTCTGTACCAGGCTCTGAGCTAGGGACCAGGGATAAGTAAATCATGGTCCTCTTATTTTCTTAAGTTTATTTATTTATTTACATATGATATATATATATAATAAACTTTGTATTTGACTAAAATAATTGTACTTCTTTATGTGATACTTTCACGTATATATACACTGTATACTGATCAGATTAGGGTGAAAAACATTAATTACATTAAATATTATTTCTCTGTGGTGAGAACATCCGAAATCCTCTCCTAGCAATTTTGGAATATACACTACGTTAACTGTAATCACTCTACCATGTAAAAACAAAGGACCAGAACCTACTCTCCCTGCACCTGGAGACTGACCTCACCCTCCCCTCCGCCATCTTCCCTTGCCTCTGGTAACCATTATTTCAGTCTCAACCTCTGTGAGATCGACTTTTTAAGATTCCACATCGTGTGGTTTGAATGAGACGTCTCCCGTATTCTCAGGCATTTGAAAACTTTGTTCGCAGTTTGTGGCTGTTTGGGCAGGCTTCGGAGGTGTGGCCCTGCTGGAGGAAGTTTGTCACTGAGGCGGGTTTTGAGAGCTTTAAGACTTGTGCCACTTCGGTCGGCTCCCTCTGCTTCCTGTTTTCAGTTCCAGATCTGAGCTCTCAGCTGTTCTGCCGCCATGTCTGGTGCTCGCTGCAACAGCCCCGCCATAACGGTGATGGACTCCTACTCCTCTGGAACCATAAGCCCAAAATAAACCCTTACTTCTACAAGTTGCCTTGGTCATGGTGTTTCATTACTGCAATAGAAACCTAGGTAAGACACAAATATAAGCCAGACCACACAGCATCTGATTTTCTGAGTCTGATTTGTTTCACTCATGGATGTCCTCCAGGTTCATTCAAATAACAGGGCCCTTTCCTTTTATAAGACTGAATAGTATTCCATCTACTTCATCCGTTCATCAGCTGATGGTCACTTTGGTTGCCCTCATTTCCATGTCCTGGCTCTTGTGAATAGTGCTGATGTGAGCATGGGAGTGAGCAGCTCTATGGCATACTAATTTCATTTATTTTGCATATGTACATGTGGTGATTTGAATCAGAAAAGTCACCCGGAGGCTCCAGTATTTAAGCATACTCAGTCCCCAGTTGGTGAACATATTTGGGGAGGTTTAGAAGGTGGGCCATGAGGCAAGAAGCCTGCCTCTGGGGACAGACTTTGAGATCAAAGCCTTAAGCCATTTCCAGTGCGAGCTCTGTTTCCTGTCTGTGGTTGAGATGGGAGCTCTCAGCTTCCTGTCCCACTCTCATGGCTGCTGCTTGCTGCCATGCTTCCTACCATAATGGACTCTCACCCCTCTGGGACCATAAGCCCAAATGAACTCCTCTGTTCCTTGCATTTGGTCGTGGTACTTTATCACAGCAATAGAAAAGTAACCAATACAATAACTAATAGTGAGATTGCTAAGTCAGGTGGAAGGTCGGCCTGGGCTATGAGACCATTGTCAAAAATCGAGCAAAGGGAGGCAGGAATGGCTTCAGGCACATAATTATAATCTCCATAATTAGGAGGCAAAGACAGGTGAATCAGTAGTTCAAAACCAGCTGGAGCAAGTATCAAATGTTTTTTTAAAAAAGTCAGTTTTAAGGCTATCCCCATGTGACTGATGAGCACCTACAGAATGTGGTTAGTCAGATGAGGCTCCTTAAAAGTACAAAGCATGCACCAAATTTTTGATGACAGTATAACTATAAAATATTAATGTTACATACTTCATAGAGATTTATTTAATGAACTGAGGCAAATGTATTAAAACTAACCCCCCTTAAAAAAAAACAAAACAAAAAAAAAAAAACTTTTAAAGCTGGGCTGTGGTGGCACATGCCTTTAGTCGCAGCACTCAGGAAGGCAGAGGCAGGAGGATCTCTGTGAGTTTGAGGCCAGCCACAGAGTGAGTTACAGGACAGGCTCCAAAGCTACACAGAGAAACCCTGTCTCAAAAAACCAAAAGAAAAAAAAAAATCCAACTACAGCACAGCTCTTACTGCATTTCTAGTGAATAGCACTGAAGCCTAGAGAGGAAATAGAAGAAATAACCTCCATAGCGCCAAGTGTGGTGGCACCAGGGTCTCCATCAAGGCTCTGTCTACTTTTCACACGTTATAAGGACCTGTCTCCAAGATGGTTACTAATGGGATGTAATAGGATGTCCCTCCCACCCCAAATAAGGCCCATTTGGGAGAGTACGGAAAGGACCGTGGGACTCCACAGCTAGGTCACAAAAGACACGGGCGCTCCCAGTTTGCCGCCTTCTACCATCACTTCTGCCAGGGTCCACATGGTAAGGAACGGAGGCCTCTGTCAGCAACAAGAAGCAACCGAGCAAGCACCATGGGCCACCCATCTTTAAACTGACCTCCAGCACTGGCTAAGCCTCCCAGTGACAACCGATACCTTTGATGCAAGCTCTGGTAAGACTCCAACCCACCTAGGTCCATTTCTTCCAAACTCCTGATCCACAAAGCACGAGGTACTGTGGTCCTGGTTGTCTTGAATCACAGTTTCTGTTTCATTACTTAGCAATGAGCTGACATTCTTACAGACCCAGGGATCCTGTGTAGGAAAATCTTTTCTTTATGGTATTTGTGTACAAGGAGGAATTAACGCTCGTTTTCCATAGCCTCTATCCCATCTCTGTTGACCCCAAGCAAAAACAGGAAAATTATCAAGCCTGAGGGATTCAACTCAAAAAGGCAAAAATCTCATTTTGCTTTTTGAAGAGGCTTACCCCTTTATTGAAGACAGACTCAGGTCTTTTGAGAATGAAATAACTTGACCGAATCACTTTCACCTGGGTCACAGAGATTTGATTCCCACAGAACTCAAAAGACCTACAGATCAAACTCGCTGTTAGATACAGCACTAAGTAGCAAGTAATTATGAATGACAGTTTATAACACTGGAGTGTCTCCAAGCCGAGAAACGTGTCAATAGTCACAGGGATGCTTTACGTGGCATGTGACTTTTCATATCGATCCCTGAGGTAGATGGAGAGATACAGGAAGCAACAGCTCAGGATCTGTCCTCTGTCATGGTCAGTAAATCACAGAGTAGTTCTAGAATCGGGTTCTGGGGGACTCAAGTCAGACTAGGAGCCTTCTGTCGCAGGACCATCATCCCCCGGCTAAGGTGAATTAAGGACCCTTCATCTGGGGCTGTCCTCAGAGATTAACGTGCACTTGAAAGTCTCCTGGAAGGCCACAAGGAAAGATGGCATTACTTCATCCACAGTGACGAGTCTCTGGAGTGCCTCACTCAGGGAAGTGACTCCTGTCCCAACCAGTCCACAGGGCACAATGTGCTCAAACCAAGTGAGGTCTGTAGAACAGTTCAGAGCCAGGCCGTGGGATGTGATGTGCCTTCCACAGCGGACTCCTGCAAAGCAAGCCAGATGTCTTAGAATAGCTATACTTCCCTCCCTTGGGGCCTCGGGATCCCGCTCGTGCCGAAAGGTAAGTGGGCCTGGACTGGGAGCCTGGACTGAACACAGACTGGGTCAGGGGGCTAAGTCTACGGGGCTGGGGACTGCGGTTACACATCAGCAGGTTCTTATTATTTTCGAGATTCCTTTAATACAGGGATTACGTTGCTTTGGAAGTTTGACATTTGGCATCCTGTCCTCCCGTTGTGAGTCACAGGAAGTAACCTGGCAATTCATCAAAGCCTGGTGTTTCTCCATCCATGAGTGCTGAACTAGAGGACTCTTCTGTCTCGGCATATTAAAATATCCGTAAGGCAGGTCAGGGACATTTCGAGCCCAGAGTTCCCCGGGGTTGGCCCTGCCCCAGCTCCGCCCCGGTTCCGCCCTGGCGCGCTCACCGATCGCGCAAATCTTGCGCTCGCCCAGCCAGACACCGGTGTAGGGGGGCGGCCGCGCGCGAGCTCCCCGAAGGCCCCGGAGCTCGCACAGGCGCACGGCGCACGCCTCCAGCGCCGCCACGTGGGTGCGCAGGCGCAGGCCTAGGCGCCGCAGGTCAAGCACCGGGTGGCAGAGCAGCTGGCCGGGGCCGTGGAAAGTGGCTAAGCCGCCGCGGCCAGTGGCGCGCACCTCGGCGCCCAAGGCCCTCAGCCGCGTCGTCTCCTCGGGCGTCAGGCCGCCGCGGAGCCCGCCCGTGTACACGGGCCCCGCTGGCTCGCAGAGCAAGAGCGCGCCCGCCTCGGTCCCCGGGCTAGGGTCAGCCTGCAGCCGCCGCAGCCAATGCTCCTGCAGTGCCAGCAGCTCGGAGTAGCGAGCCCGCCCGAGCCACACTAGCCGGACCGCCGGCAGCTGCATTGCGAGGGCAGCGGCGTGCGTGGGCCCCGCCTCCTGTCGTGTCTCGGGGCGGGGACTCAGGGCCACGCCCGTGAGCTGCAGCTCCAGAGTAGATTCCAGATCCCGCCTACCTACGTAACCAGAGACCCAGTCTGATCGGCCTCATCCTCCCATTTATTCCAATAGTCATTCTTTAGTCTGCACTGTGTTCTGCAGACCCAGTCCTAGGAGCGTGACCCTGCAGTGCAGTGTGCGAGAAACGAAGACCCAGGCCTAGGAGCTTAGGTGTTCACAACTGACAAGCCAGTATTAAAGTTTTATAGTGTTGGGGAAAAACCAAAAAACCCAGAACCCAATAATATTCTGAGTTCCTCAAAAACTGAAAGGTATTGTGGGTTGGTGTAGGATGTAGGAGGTCTGTACGAGCTGGGCGGTGGTGACGCACGCTGTTAATCTCAGCACTCGGGAGGCAGAGGTAGGCAAGTCTCTGAATTCGAGGGTTCGAGGCCAGTTTGGTCTACAAAGTGAGTTCCAGGACAGGCAGAACTTAAAAAAAAAAAAAAAACCTCTAAGATGTGATAGTGATAGAAGCAGGCAGAGGGTGTAGTTGAGCAGAGAAGCAGTTGCATTGGAGTCCTTCCTTAGCTATTCCCCAGGAATGCTCTGACTCTGGCCTGACCCTCTAGAATTATTCCAGATTAAAACAAACGGGTGCAAATGCGTGTCCTGCATTGATGAATCTCAGAAACAGGCTACCCCTGGGAAGGCATTGTTACCTTTGTTGGAGGTTGCTTCTATTATGGAGGGCTGAGCTCTGAGGGGAACTCAGGTGTGATTCATGAGCAGCCCATTCCCAGAAGCTGAGGGAAGGACAGGGACTGAAGGCCAGAACATCAAGATTAATTTGTGAAAGAAGCCAGTTGGCCCAGAAATGCTTCCCACCTGGAGCTTCATGCAACAGAGCATGTGCCAGAAAAGCCCCAGAACTACAATTTGGAGAGGCAGTGTCCTGTAAAAGTCCCATAAAGAGTCCGGAGCCTCACTCCCCAAGGCTTTTTGCTCAGCTCACTCGCCCACTCCCATTCCTCGGGAGTGTTTTTCTTCCCTTAATAACCAGTGTCTGTTTCTAACACATCACATGTCTCTGGTGCAATCCTCTACCTGGGACATTGAAAACCCGATCTGCACTGGCCACTAAGCATATTTTTTCCCTCTTTTCTTTATTTCTCTTTCAGATATTGGCCTTAAGCCGAAGCCGGGTTGTCTGGCACTCTGGGCTTTCTCACTCTTTCTTCTGCTGCCCACCTCTGCCATGCAGGCGCCCAGCTCCACTGCTTGGCTTTCTCCCTTTTATCCTCCCCACCCCCCACCTCCCCCACGGCAGCTAAGGAGGTTTTCAGTCTGCTTGTTTTACTCCCAAGTTCTAATACAATTCTACTCAATTTGTTTCCATTTGTTTTTAAATTATCTTATTAAGGAGACTAAGAATCCAAAAGAAGGAACCCCAATTCCCCTGGTAACACCAAGAAAGGGCCCAGAGCACAGCAGATGTTGTGAACTTGAGCTAATATGCCCCTGAGAAGGGCGAGGGGGCTGTTGTTAAACCAGGTTTTTCTGGGCTCTTGAAAAGCTTTCCACCTTAAGATGCTGGGCCTGATGACTACAAGAGCTCTGTGAATGGAGAGAGGAGAGAGAGACAGAGACAGAGACAGAGTGAAAGTGAGTGAGCTCCCTCTGGCTGCCTTCCTAGACAAGGAAGCAGTCTGGTACACAGTGTGGTTGGAGTCAGTATGCCCTGTGTGGGGCTAAGGGTGGAGTCTCTCAAGCATAAATATGAATCCTCCTGGTCCTGGTGTAACCTCCCTGGCAGGAATGAAAACACTAAAGAGACACTTGCACCTTCCCTAACAGACCACTGAAGCAGTGGACCCCAATAAACAGGATTTCTCGAGGAGTCTCATGCCGGGAGAGGGGATAGGCTGCTGGGGGAGTTTGTCTCCCTGCAGGAGATTTCACACAGGCTGTCTTTTGTCAGGCCACTTTGCAGGAGACTGAGTCCAAACAAGGATGGGTCAGTGATAGGTGAGACCACACCCTGCCCAGGACTGCACTCTGTTTAAACCAAAGTCTCATGTCAGGACCTGAGAGATGGACTTGGGAGTGTGGAGGTGGAGGGAGGTCATTGGATTTCTTGGTTCTTCTTACCCATGTGACAATGTTAAATCTCTTCTCTGCTTCTCATGTTCACACTTACCTGTTTAACTGACCTAGAGCACAGATGGCCAAGCCTACTGTATCAGAACGGTCAGGTCCCAGGCTTTGACTCTGTGTGTTGTTGTTGGTTTTGAGGGTTTTTTTGTTTTGTTTTCCTTTTTTCCCCCCTGAGACAGTGTTTCTCTGTGTAGTTTTGGTTCCTCTCCTGGATCTCATTCTGTAGACCAGGCTGGCCTTGAACTCACAGAGATCCACCTGCCTCTGCCTCCCAAGTGCTGGGATTAAAGACATGCACCACCACCACCTGTCTTGTTTTGCTTTTTTGAGAGTTTCACTGTTAGCTCTGGCTATCCAGAACTCACTATGTAGATCAGGCTAGCCTCGAACTCACAGAGATCCGCCTGCCTCTGCCTCTCAAGTGCTCTTAATACTGGGTGTGGGTGGGGCAGGAAGTGGAAAGAGGAAGAACAGAATAAGAGTAGCAGCCAGAGGGAGGCTCAATGCCAAGAATTAACAGGTGGACAGACAGGCATGGGCAAACAGATATAACAGTAGTTTTCAGAGCAGATGACAAAAGTTATTGTGAGTCATCAGTGGTGAGGATGTGGTTTAAAAAATAAACATGACAGTTAGATAGCCCCAGGGTCTTGGAGAAGAAGAGAAATCGGGAAATGGGCTTACATAAGGCCCTGTGCCAAGCACCTACATAGTTGCATGTACAGTGGGAAAAGCAAGGGCAGTGATTTGGTTTCTGTGGCAGATGAACCCGGTGTGGTCCTGCCTACGGTGTGTCCTGGTGTGAAGTAGAATAAGCAGGAAAGCCAGGATCTGGGGTCATCTTCTGTCTCTGTCACTGTGTATTTGTGCTCCTTTGGGGTAGGCAATGCAGTGTTTGATTCCTGGGTCCTCATCTACCCTAAAGTCTGGCACCTATAGGGCTTTAGAAATGTTTGCAGAATGAAAGAACAATCGGTTAAATAATTTGCTGTGCCTGTCAATGAACTGAGACCTTTCACTCGGGGTCATGGCAGCCTTCAAGCCCCTAAATGATCCCCAAATTTCAGGACTTGCGGCTGTCATCTCTGTAAAAAGTGTTCACACCATAGCATGCCAAATCCAATCAACACCCACCAGGCTCCACTCAGAGTCTGCCTCCTCTATCATGCCTCCCCTGACTTTTCCCTCAACACTTTGTGTGAACCTTTGTTGACTCTCTAATCTACCTAGGGTTATCCTGAGTTGGAGTCATTACCTGCCACCTTGCCAGTCCTGTGGCCCCAGAGCACAGAGTAATAGCTAGTACTTGAGTAGTACTTGTCATGTGTTGGACACTCTGAAAACTTTGAAAATCATCAGTGCAACTGTTAGCTGCCATGAGCATGCTATATCAAAAGTGTAGGTGGACAGGCACATCTGTATCTTTCCACATGTCGGAATTTATTGAGTAGCAATAAGTTCCTAAGCTACACTGGTGTCCTTGACTGCTGTTTGCATTCCCAGTTTCCCTTGATAGCTGGCCAAGGCAAACACAGGTTCTTTCATTTCAATCTTCACTAGTCTTCGCTCTCAGATCACACATTACATATCACACAGTAAATATATGTGTAAGTCTGTATACACGTGGGTTACACTAAATGGCTACAAAGGACTCAAGAGGTCGTAGTGGAGTGTAAGAGGTTCAGAAGAAGTCAGATACGAAGAGAGTCACTGAGGGCCATTAGATAAGATATTAATGAACCTAGCTGAAAGCACGCGTCACTGTTAGCTGTCATGTCAAACCCCAGGGTCAGGTTGAGCTATCCAGTAAGGTGTAGGATTGCAGAGGTCACAGAGGTGACGAGAAGGGCCAGGTCAAGAGAGATGAATGGGCAGAACAGAACTGTCAGTGGGGACCAACTCAAACTGAAGTTCCCAGGGCAGTTGACAGTTCTCTGTGGTCTTTTGATGCATATACCAGGTGGTCAGAGGACAGGTTGCCATCACAGTGTTAGATGCCTTCCTTTTGGGGGGTGGGGGGTCCAGGTAAAGGTGTTGCACCCTTTCCTCTATTTGGTGTGTTTGCTATGTTCTTGGGTCAAGTTTTCCTGATATGATTTTAATATGCCGTATTCTCCAATAGCCCAAACTTACTGTGGTAAGTTTACAGGACTGGCACCCCTTTTACTTTTAGGAGTAAGATATTTATCTGTCTGTGACTTGTGGGTGGTGCGAGACAGATGGTGTTAGTTAAATGCCTAACAAGGGTAGAGTCATTCTGCCTGTGTTTTCGATCAAAATGGAGTCAAAGGCTGCTTATAAATAGAGCCTCTCAGGCCAAGGAACAGGCTAAAGAATGACTGTTTTACATAATATTGATCATGGAGTGGGGGAAATATAGCCAGTCTTTCTCTGTCCCACCAGCCAGCTCCCAAATCATGACATGGAGAATTATTATGAATTATGAAAGCTTGGCCAATAGCTTAGGCTTGTTTCTAACTAGTTCTTATAACTTAAATTAACCTATTTCTATTAATTTATATGCTGCCCTGAGGCTCATTTACCTTATCATGTACTGTCCATCCTGCTTTCCTGCTTCCTCTGTGTCTCCTTACATCTCTGCTCTTCTTCTTCCCAGTGTCTTTGTGTGCCTGAAAATCCTGCCTAGCTATTGGCCATTCAGCTTTTTATTAAACCAGACAGTTCTTCACAGTGTATAATAGGATTATTCCACAATAGCACAGTCTGATGTGAGCAACATTTAATTTTTAATTAAATATTTAATTTAATTAATATTTAATTTAATATTTAAGAAGCTGCCAGTCTTAGGGCAGAGATAGACAAGTCCACAGACAA